TATAGCCACACTGGGTCTGGTTGATTCCCCTCATGATAATAACCAACACAAAAGAGGAGTAGTAATTTAGTTTTCTGGTTAGAACTCAGTGAACTTAATATTTGCTGTGCGACATTTAACTCATTTAGGTAATTATGCTTAATCATCAGTTACAGGCTCCAGTCATTACAGTGAAATGAAGACAGAGCCTGCTGTGAATGACTGTTTAGTGTGTCACATTCAGATCCTTTATAATCCTCAACCACCCTTCTCCTTAACTCTGACTGACACACTCTCACTTAGTATAGAGTGTGTTCAATACTTCAGTCCAATGCCCTATTTTCTCCACCACGTGTCAAAGACAGCTGGTTGACTGGCCAGTCAGGACAGAGCAAAGGTCAACGGGTTATGGTGATGTAAGATCCATACAGGAAGAGGGTCAAATGTGTGAGAAGAAGATGAATGGAGGAAAAGAATGGGCAATAACTGTTGAAGTTTTCCTTGAAGCGCCGTCCTGTCTGACTCACAGCTTTTCCCACAGGGGCCCCATGTGTGTACTGGCATCATCCGGATTAGCTCATGATGGGAATACAAAAGACACAGACTGAAAATGAAACACATTCATTGGCATCAAAGAAATATTTCTGGAATTTGGCACATCTGTAGTCTTTGTTGTCTTTCTGCAGATGCCATTCGCCCAGGAGCAGAGCTGCACAGTCTGAGGGCCCTCTTTGTCGTTTTTGGATGAGTCAGTGTTTTGTGCGTATTTGCCTTGACTCTGGTATGTAATATGCTCCGGCCTCACATTAACACTGCTTGCGTCAGTAGTCAGTCAGCGTATTGGGCGCAACCCCTGCCACCTAGACGGCACCCACAGAGGGATGTAATGATGCTTCATCCACATCCCAAGCAAAACATTCAAAACATCATGGAAGCTCTGTTGTTTGCGAAGCTCTGTTGTTTGCAACAGCGATCCTTCCTGTCGATTTGACAAACATGTGATGGATGCAGATGCTGACCACAGAGTACTGGATAGAAAATACAACCAAATATGGTAGAAGAGCTGTTGTTCCAAGGAAAACTAAGAGTTTCCATGTGTTTGCGAGATTAAATTCTTTCCTGTGAAAACTTGTTATGTTTACTTATTATTTGATTTTGGGGTTGTTGAGGTTAAATCAACTTTGAAGCTACATTTGACTCTATATCAACAGAACTATCTTTTTAGCTCTTTTATTCATAACAAAGTGGGACTGCAGACTAATTTTGATGGAAAAGAATATTACATTCTTAATAATTTCGATGCTGTAGATCCTCCATTTTGTCTGGATGATTTAGTAATAATTACTTCCAATTTAGTTCCACTCTCCACCAACATGGAGTGATTATTTAAAGCTTAGGGAGCTGGAAGTATGTATATGCTCTAAACTACATCTGGAATATTCCTCGAAGTGCTGTCAAACACTGCTGTAAATCTGTTCAATGGCCAGATGGAGCTTAGGAGTGAACTTTCTTCAAAACAAGTAGTAAACATGCTAAAACTAGTTTAACGAGATGGAAGTAAACCAAAAATATAAAGCTCAAAGGATTTGAAATAAAACAATACTTAGGTAAGAGTCTACAGCCAGCAGCTCTGTGAGGCTGTAGGCTACTTAGTCAGACATGATTTATCCTCTGGGGACCATGAATGTCTGTGCAAAATTTGCCAGTGCACACACAATAAATTTACTTTTTTTTTACTGACAGCAAGCCTGTTTCCAGTGAAAACCATAAATGGCTTTGAATACAGAGTGCTATGTCAGAGAACACTTGCTCTCCAGCTTTAAATGAAGCATGACTTGTAACAGTTTGTCGATAACTGATAGCGATGCCTTGTGATGATCACCAGCTCGAGGTCATACTGGCTGTGCAGCCTCATATTTCAAGTGTTGTTTTACTTGTACTTGAGATAAGCGACAGAAACCAATCTGGTATTAATCTGACCACCTTGGCGAATTAGTGCTATGTAAGCAGACAATGAGTAAGCCCAAGGGCTGAATCTTCAACAAAATGTTCTGACCTTTAGTAACCTCTGTCTTTGAAACTCTGTCTCCCTGACGGAACAGTCTGTTCTTGAGTTTGTGTGAGATGAGTCCCTGGAGTTACAGCAGAGTCAGGTCCAGGGCTTGGTCAGGATGGGGGCCTCCATTGTTCACATTTGTCTGTATCAGTGTGTGTCTGTATGTTGTCTAAGTATTTGTGTTTGTTAGGCAGCTCTAGAGAAAGCCCTTTCCTGTGTGGCGCTGGAGGTTCCTTCTGGGGCTGGGCGGCTGGCGGCCCTGCAGACACTCTGTCTCGATCCAGTTCCACGACAAGGCCTTACCATTGTTCTGACCCTCAGTCCCTTTGTCCTGTTCAGTCTACCTCCACCGCCCACCCCCCTTACAGCTAGGCAATGCAAGGCAAGGCAAGTTTATTTGTATAGCACATTTTAACAACCTGGCAATTCAATGTGCTTTACATAAAACATAAAAGCAACATAAAAATATATTTTAACTCAATTAAAAAGTTAAATAGAAAGTAAAAATACAGGAGAGTAAAATTACAGTGCAGTGTAAGATATTAATCGAAAGACTCAAATTTGATTTAATAAATGGCAGCGGTACACAGGCTTGATTTAAAATATCTGAGTTTCAGCAAAGCTGCATATTTCTGAGAGTTTTTTTCTGAATGTAGCAGAAGATAAGAAACATATTAGAAAGATATTTTGGCCGTATACCATTCAGTACTTTATAAACCAACGGCAGTATTTTTAAAATCAATTCTTTGACATAGAGGACGCCAGTGTAAAGACCTCTGATTTTTTTCGGTCATATCAAACATGTTTGAAATTTACAATTCAAAATCAGGTGTAACCTTATGATTAGTTCTGTAAACTCCTCACACTACAGGATCATTTGGGCCGATAATCTGTTCCAACCAGCCTTGGCTAGGAAACTCCCCGCTTTTGTTGCGACGGGAAAATCAGACACAAAATTGTCCCAATTATCCTCTGGTCACTATTATTGCCTCTTTGGGCTGTGGGAGCTTTCTATGGCACTACGTAAGACTGAAATCCTGGGCAGGATTTCTATTGCAAGAACAGCGTAATGCTTTACTGCACCACAACACAACAAAACTCTTCAGCAAGCGAGCTATAAGAAGAAGCAAAAAGTATAGAATCTACAATGTAAGTTATTTGGAAGAAGCTAGCTCTGTATTATTAGTATGGATATCATGTCAGAGGCTGCGAAGAGACTGATGAAGATGTTGTCAGGAGAAGAAAGGCAGAGAGTAAATATTAGACTGGCTTTTACTTGTTGGCATGGCTTGCTGTGTCTTGTGTAGTTGCGCTTGGTTGATGTTTGTCTGTGGTAGCGAAGTTGTTGACTCAAGCTAAATCAGCCAGAGGTTTCACAGACGGACTTGAGATTTTTAGCTAGAAGCTAAAGTTGATGTTCGCAAACTTACTAGATGATGCACTCGCACATAGGTAACATTACTGTGAGTGCTCTTGCGTCGGTTGCTGTCTCGCTTTGTTAGGTTATCTTGCCACCCAGGTTTCAAGCAACATTATGCTGCTGCTGGTGGAGAGCTCGACACTGGAGCCGGATGAAAGGGGCAAAATAACAAGGCTCAGCAGCCTGTGGACATAATGTTATTTAATGCCAGAGGATGTTGACAGTGGAAGCAAAGAAGAGAAAAAGAATTGGATGTTGGCAAGAGCTTCGTGAAATAAAAGGCTGCCGAGACAGACGCCGAGCAGGCATTCTTTCTGTGGGACAAATCAGTAATATTGCTGTGTCTTGTTGTCGCACCTGCTTGATGTTTAGCTGTTAGCAAAGTTGGCGACTTGCTAGTTATTTATCGTAATGCAATCATATGAAATGCACTTGTACAGCTCTTCTTATTTACAGCAGTGGGGAATTACACCAAATCCGACACAAAAGAACACATCTTATAATGTTGCTTTAAAGAAGAGAAAATTTGAACAATACAATTACAACAAATTAAATCAATACATGTACATGAACAAAGCCAAATAGTCCTGTGCTTAGGCAAGTACAGTGTTAAGCTATGCTATGCACAATTAAGTTACGTTGCCACTCCGTAGAGGAAAAGAAGTTGATTTGACGTGCTACTTGTAGCCAGCAGTTCCGTTGTGGATTAGCCAAGCAGTGAAGAAATGTGGTTTCCTATTGCAGTCTTTTGCTGTGCCACTTGTCTGTTCTCCTCAGAGTTAGCTACTTAGTGCTAAGCTACTTAGTTGCGTTTGTTGCTTGTTAAAGTCAGAGCCATTTAAAGAGGGGTCCAAAATGCTTGATCGTCACATGGTTCATGGAGACCGCAGGTAGTTTCCAGAAGTCCTAGGTGGGCTATTGAAAATGAACGAGAAAAATGGCAAAACGGCGATTTTAAGCTATTTTTTTGTAATTTATAGAATGATAGCGTTGATTTACAATATTTGTACAGCACACTGACACCTGGATGAAGTTACATTACTATTTTTTAAAAAGGAGGACATATATTTTTGACAATCACAGCTACAATCACCTACCTTGTTGCCTTTTTTTGGCTAACCTTACATTGGAAAGTGTTCCTCTTGAAAACACGTTTAAAATTCAGATCTGAACATTCCTTTTAGTAATCCCATGATACCAGGATTACTTCTCTTAATGACTGATGTAATCTTTATGACTTCAGATAGAATAGACAGGTGACTATCAATGATTTTCATATATTAATGTAATAAATCTCCAATAAACTCAGAAATCAGCATGTTAAGTGGTTTGTGCCTGTCTTAAAATGTACTACAACACGGTTTATTGTGCTGTGTGGAGATGCTGCTGCAGTCGGTCAGAAAAAGGAGTACGAAGGTATGGTTTCCCAGCTGATATGGAGAGGAAGAAAAAATGGATGATTCAGGTAAACAGGAGCAACCTTACAATCAATCAGCTAACAACAAAATAATATGTGAGGTATTTTTTCCACAAAGAAAGAACACATCACTGGCTTAATGTTTGGTTTATTAAAAACATCACTGCAGATAATCTTCAGGCTCCACTGAACCCCCTGTGATACTTGTGCTGAAAGAGGTAGAACATAAGAGAGAAAGGGTTATACAAACCTTCACATCTGTAAAGATTCATCCAGGTCATGGTTATCCAAGAAAAGTGGAATCGGGAGCAACTGGACCTGGGTTGACCTGGCAGGTTTGATTGAGAAAGTTATGCATTGTTAAGTTTTGGAATTTTATCAACAGCTTTTGCTGCTGATGTTGGCATCAGTTACTAGAATATTTTTATTTTTTCAAAGAGGTCTCACACACAGGAACTTTGATGATGATGTGATATGAATTTGTACAAAGTAATTATGTAATTAGAGTAAACATATCCAGTAAGAAGTGAGTGTTCACCAGTATCGTGCATTCAACCACTATGATGTATTAATGTGGGTAAATAAACCAGAATTGTTTGTGGAAAATAAGCTCAAGTCTCTCTGCAGGGACATTTTGAGGCAGACCAGTTTGTCAGGACCAAAAAGTCCTAGCTGCTGATCAAAGCTATACTTTTAAAAGTGTAATAGGTGTAATAAGTATTAACTCTTAAAAAGTATTGTATATAAATATTACATAAACAGAGCCATGTCTTCTACTTGCATCAGTTTCAGAGACTGAGGAAAGAAGGAATATAGAGACTAAGAAGGGATGCAGACACTGAGAGAAGGGAAAGAAAATAATATAACATTTTGAGTATGATTTCTTATAAATGGTATACAATAATAGGCATTTACAATCGTGTTGTTTTCTATCTCACCATGGTCCACTCAGTACTCTTTAGCATCACTGCTCCTCCACCATGCAGAGTCTACTGCTCTAATATAACTAATGTTTACTATGAAGATTGTTTTATAAAAATAAATAACGTTTTGAAATATTTTATTCATACATGCACCACTAATATATTTAAATAAAATTAAATACCACCCCCCAAAAAATACGTATTTTAAAATAAATTAATTGGCTGCCCCTGTTTATATTGTGTGCTGCTAACTTTATCCATTGCCAGTATCATAATTTATTTCTTAATTAGTTAACCATTAATGTCCGTAAATCTTCTAATTTAGGGGGGGGGGGATCCACCAACATGCTTTAATGCACATGTTAACTTGATTCAGTTATGCTAATAATCTCATTTTTTGCACGTCTTACCTTCCCAAAAGCATTTTCTATTGCAGTTCTGCTGCGATGCTAGCACTTGATCCTAGCATTTGATGCTAACTTCCGGGAACTATTCACACGCTCCATGATCCGCCATTGCTGTGAAAAACTGGTCCATTGGAGTGAACGGAGATGACGCGACTCTCTCTTTAAAGGGCTCTGGTTAAAGTTAGCTGGCAGACTCTGTGTCTCTGCCGCTCAAGCAAACAAAACTTGTTGTTGTTGTTGTTGCAAGCTCTAGCGGCGCTGTTATAACATCAGAGAGATTGGTTCTGCTGTACACCTGGTTGTTGTGGAGGTTTTGTGCTATCTCTCCCTTTTGCAGCTGTCCATAGCTGTGTCCTACTAAGAAAAAGACTGAAAAGGCCCTCTGGATGATACCACTGTTTTGAGTACATGTTAAAGTACTGTCGTTCCCTCGTTGTCTATTAATTTCCCAGATCACTTGTAACCGGTGGATTTTGGTTTCCAGCACTGCAATTTTCTGTAGAGGTTTTTCTTAGTCGTCCGTGGAGAAGTGCAGCATCTTGCTGCTAATTAGCTGAAGCTAGGTACGTCTCCAGTCACTGCCGTACAGGCTTGTGCTGTTGGTAAGCCACACCTGCGTAGTACCGAGGAGGTCAAAAAAGTGTTGAAAATATGCCAAAAGCCTATTTTATCTGAATATATTACCATCCCAATGATTTATTGGTATCCAGTCGATGTTCGAAAAAAACAACGAATATCAGCAAAAGATTTCATGCAGAAGCGAGAGCAAGCAGCAAAGCGTCTGCACTGTAAGAAAGCAGGAAGTATCCCTCTCCTCATGTCTCCTACCCTGCAGGTGCAGCTGATCCACGGCCCAGAGAGGGAGGAAGTGCTGGCCTAGAAAACAATACCTCAATTCCTATTTATACATCAATTCATTATTGTATTTATGTGGTTGCCTGCTTATTTTTGTGGTTTGACATCAGTTTGTGTAATTTTGTAACCGCGCTGGATTGTAAAACCCCCCGTGTCAGCTTACAAAAATGTTCAGCCTATTGATGGCCATCTAGGTTATGGGATTCCCGCTTTGACCTTGGTGTATAAAGTTAAAATTGGATGGTACTTGTATTGACTGATGTTATGACATGGTAGGTGCCGTGGAATTCACCGTTTTCTCCCACAGAGATTATTTTATAGGGAGAGTTAAACAGCCTGTCTCAGCACATATTGGGTGAAAGGCAGGGAAACACCATGACTTGGTTTTAACAATGTGCAATACATGTATGATGTAATGAATGGATGTTGCTGGAGTGCAAAGGGTGGACACTATCTGCTGGTCAAGTGCTCTCTCTCGATGATAACATAATTATAAGCGTCCAAAGAGGGCTTAAGAGATACTTCAGGTGAACACCAATGTTACAATACAGATCAAAGTGCTCGGCTGGTATAATGTGGCAGAAAGATAATGTGTAACAGGACAGTGAGTTCAAGCCTTGGGTTAAGTATGGACTTGAATTTTGAAGACTATGTCAGACTGAATGGACTCCAGACTGTAAATCACTGATAGTGCAAAGTGAGATTGTTGCTGTGCAGTACTTCAGCCAACAACACAACACACACCAGCCAATAAGTGATGCCTCGGACACAAGAATATTTGTCATTTTCACAAATGGGTTCGACAGCCAGAAGATTGCTATGCAGTGCAATTTGCACTGAGCAAAACAATGAATTTGGGTGTCCTTTGTGCACACACTTGCAATATTTACAGTACGGAAGACCTTTGTTAACTGTGAGTGGGGCATGATAGAGATAGACAGAAATATTTATCTCTCAAGAGAAATGAAGTGAAATGTATCTGAATGAAATGTGAGCTTGTTAAAACTATGCAGCAGAGGATGAAAAACAACATGACAGAAAGGAAGGAAACAGGCACTGTGCACTCTTGTCCTACTACGCTGAAACACTCTAAAATGTTCCAAAGCACAAACATGTCCTTTTGTACTGTTACAGTAAAACATTCTGTGATGAGTGAAAACCCTGGAAAAGAATTTGCCACTCTGAGGACTATCTACTTAAACACAACAACATATGATGCAATGCAGTGAGGAGCGTGCAGTTAAACACTTGGAAAATGAACCAGCCTCTCAACAAGCACACAGCCTGCTATGGGGGTATTAAAGAGTTCATTATGCTCCAGTCTAACTAGTGTCATCTGAAAACGTCTAAAAGGCACAACTATTTATTGCTGAACGACCACATATGAAGGCAGAGTGAAAAGCCTGCTGTCACAGGGAGAGGCACAATGCATAGCACAAATGGGGATAAGTCTCTCTTTGAGGGAATTTATGGTGTTGCACTTCGTTGTTCACATGAAAAGTGCCATAGATGTGTGAAAACTGAAAGAGAGCTGAGAGAGAAATTCACCTCAGCACACCCGATCAATTTCTGCACGAGCTGAACATGTTATTCGGATTATCAGTTTCAGAAATTTGCAGAAATGGTCAAACATCGATTTCGACGATGTAAGATGTGAGGGTTAGGAGGTTTCAGATGCAGTCTGATGATCTGGCAAGGACTTATTTTAAAGAGGTGGTATTATGCTCATTTTCATGTTCAAAATCCAGAACAGATTTACATGGTTTAATTTTCAAAAAACACCATATTTTTCTTATACTGCACATTGCTGCAGCTCCTCTTTTCACCCTGTGTTGTACGATCCGCTCTTGAGCTACAGAGTGACGCATCTTACTTGTACAAAATTTTTTTTGGGAGTTGCACATGTGCTGTTCCCACGTAAGGACTACTAGCCAATCAGAAGCAGAGAAGGGCGGGTCGTAAGAAACAAGGTAGTGTTTCCAAATCAAAGCCGCTTCAGACTGCGACCGTAACCTAGCAGATGGTAGAAGTTACTCACAAGTCCACAACCACACAACATCATTGTTCCACATCTTACCATAAACCACTAAAAAAATTTACATAAAAATTGGCCAAACAATTTGAACGTTTGCTCAGTAGCTTTCACATCAGGTGTAACATTAGCATTATAGCTATAACTTTAGCTGTGTTAGCCAACGTTTACAACAACTCCGCACTTGAACAGTCTGTGAAGTGAAATTGCCATGTTTATTTTAAATATAATTCACAACCAATAAAGCATAATTACAGTTACAGGTTGTGATTGTGAATTTCCAGGCCCAAACAGAGTCGGAGTTGCATCGTCTTTTAGGACTAAACTATGAACTGTTGCCGGTGTTCTGACGATCTATGCTGCCTTGCCGAAAAATGCCACCATAGCGCAAATCGATAGACTCGACTCTACTCGGCCCTGCTCCGTTTTCCATTGCAGATAGTACCCAGAGATAGTACGTAGCTTGTTGTCATAACGACGCCACACACAACTGCAGCGACTTGATACACACACCAGCAATCGGTATGAAAACCTTCCAGCTGTGTTTTCCTCTGCTGTTGTTGCTGCAGAGGTCTGTGTGACGGTGGGAGCAGAGGGCTCTGTGAGCTCCTCAACTCCAAAAATATTCAAGCACATTTTTGTTCAGCCATCACTTCTCGTAAAACTGTCAATATTCGAAATCTAAACAGCTGATTTCTCGCCTCAAAACTTCTCAGAAGTGGATTTAGTGATGAAATTCCACACGAAACTGTAAAATATAAAACTTTCTGTGGCTGGCCTCAGTCTGGTCCAGCAATGGTGATGCAGTGAATAGTGAATATTCTCTCTAACCAATCAGCAGTCTGTCGTGTATTCTAGTTACATTTTAGTATCCCTAAGCTCGCTTGGAACCTCGACGGAGGTGAGTTGATACGAAAAAATGTACCTTGAAGCAGGTACAGGTACAGCATTTCTACAATGGAAAACCAAACAAAGGCAAGTCGAGCCAAAGGGCCTCCGCTCACACTAGCTTGGTTTGAGGGCGTGCCTGACCCCACTCTCTGCTTGGCAAGCTTTATAACACGTTTTCCTTGTGACATCACAGGGAAGTAAGGGAAACGGCTGGACTACAAACGAGCTGCTGGGAGATGGGAACTCCGTTTGGGCTGGACTTTTCACTTTGCAAACCTATTACATGCACAAAAAAGAGATATCTCAATAAAGGAGAGGGGAAAAGCCAAAAAGCATAATACCACCTCTTTAAAGCATAGGGGAGAGCTGAGTGAGTTGAGTCAGTTTTTACTTGAGGTGTCTTTGAAGTGAGGACATGACAGTAATGTCTCCAACTAAAATATGTACATATATTTTAGGATGTGGTGCATCCCTGGGGATAATCAATATGGATCTAAAATAAACTGTTTTCAATATATGGCTTTCCAAAAAATAAAGTGCACTGGAAAGGATAAGTTGAGACACATGGGCGTCTTGGACATCAATGTCATTTCATCGTGCAAACTCAAACGCCAGGTCCCAACATTTAATTGCACTTAGATAGTGAAACATTGCAGCTATGTCTCCTGGTTGTTTCATATCAGTGTATCGCTTTAAAGTCATCCTGTTTATCGACATGGCCCGTGCCACCTGGTGAATGGACTTCCCATTTTTTTTACCTCTCCCACTTCTCTGTCCAAACCCACAATAGGAGTTAAAGCCTGTCTGGGTTCCATTTATAGAAGCATGACATGATGGTTTCTGCTCTAAAATGCATGATGTCACATCATTTCACTGATGCATAAGAATGCAATGTAAAATTACAGTTAAATATCTGGCTCATCTTCCCTCAGGTCTTTTGGCTCAAATTACCCCATCCCCGCCATTTTAACAAAATTGTGTCATCCAGCCGTTTAAGGGTAAAGTCATGCTAACAGTATAGCCTCCTATTGTAACTTCCTAAAGCACTAACACATGCGTATGATTTTCTCAAACCTGTCTACAGTTGTTCAGACACAAGAATAAGACTAACTCCTTGAACATAAAAAAATCACTTTGAACGGCAAAGTTTTGATCTTAAATGTGCTTATCACTTATTCCATTCCATTCCATGGGCATTTCTTCATCACAGGGAGAGTAAAATGGATGACTCTTCAAAAATGTGTTTTCACATGACCATTGTTGTCTATGGTTGCTGAGAAACAAGTGGTGGCTCAACTTCCCCACAGGCTCAGCAGCCTACAGTACTGTGAAAAAAGTCAGACGTGGAAAAAATGCTGTAAAGAATGTTTTCAAAAATAGACATGTTAATAGATTGTATAAATAAATAATAAATATAAAGAGGGCCAAGTGACTCAGCTATTGGCTGCTGGTGTTTTGGACCTACCTGCCGAGTTCCTTCAAAAACTTTGTGTAAGTGTACCTAGGAGAATTGATGCTGTTTTGAGAGCAAAGGGTGGTCACACAAAACATTGATTTAAATTTCTTCTTTTCACTCACTTTGCATTTTGTTAATTGATAAAAATAATCTATCGACACGTCTATTTTTTGAAAGCATACTTACTTCACAGCATTTGTCCACATGTGCCTAAAACAGCTTTTTGCACAGTATACTGCATATATACACATATACACATTTGAAGATAAAAATGTGCACATAGAGAAGACTGAAACATGTAACGGCATCAGATATTTATGTAGTTAAAATATTGTTTGTCTCTATTAGACCTCAGTGTAAATGCTGGGTACATCACCTTTTAGTAGAACTGCTGAAAAATGGGTGACTACAAGTCAACTGTATTTGTTCTTTTTTTACGACTGCTATCCAGGCTGTACTGTATTAGCAAAAAAATACTGAACAACATTAATTTATCTTTAAATATTAAACATAGAATTTACTAATTATATT